GTGTGTATCTGTCTGTCACTCACCACTCACCTGCCAGAGTATGAATGTGGGATGTCAGAGGATGACTTGTGAGAATTGCTTCTTTCTTTACACCATGGGGAACCTATGGATCAAACTCAGGTTATTAGGCCTGGCAGTGCCTTTGCTTACTGAGCCCACTGGCCAGCCTGTTTATTTTAAATATAAAATATTAGATCAGAGTTTGTCAGCCACATTTTCATTACACTGTAGGTTTCAATGTGTTGGGTTTATGTAGTTGCGACTTAGTGCCACAAAACAGTGCTCAAAATTGATACATTTTAGTCAAACAAATGAGTGAAGGCTAACTCTTTCTTGGTTACCACAGAAGCTTAAAAAAGAAGAAAATCCATTCAAGAATGAAACAAACCACTTGAATTCTATCTTCTGGATCTTCTTTTCAAAAATAATAAGCTCTGTTTTGTTTTCCACCCTCCCGCCCCCGTGCCTTTATGGATCATGGCCTTGTATCAACCTTGTTCTTAACCAAAATGTTTGACTTTTCTATCAGAAGTGAATGTGAGAACCTATGATGTTCAGATCCACGTTTATACAGATTTGAAATGAACTGTATGAATCAAAGTAAAGAGAGCTTCATGTTTCATGACTTCAGTAGAAAAGGAGTAAAAGATACAATGAAGGAAGAGACATATCTGAATCGCCCAATAATTTTGTTAACAAAGTAAATCTAGTTATATTGAACAGTGAACCAGTATAGCTTAGTGGAAAGGACTGTTCAACTCTGATTCAAAAACATCTGGACTTTTATCATTTACTACGCAATGTTGGTAAAGTCACCTAAACATATAGAATCTGTTCATTCATTTGAAAGTTTGCAGTATTAGATTTTGTATTACAATGATACCATCTAATGGGGAAGGTACTACAAAAAGGGTGCCATGCTTCCCAGTGTGAATTCTCTTTATTACCAAGGTTTTCCTGGAATAGATGAAAAGGATTTGGGCATTGGTTTCATGATTTAACATGGCTACTTTTTTCTAGACTGTCAGGATTTAGACCTTAACTTTGAGCCATAGAGGGACAACTGGGGATGTGACTCAAATGAAATTCAACAGGAGAGCCGGGTGGTGGTGGCGCATGTCTTTAATCCCAGCACTTGGGAGGCAGAGGCTGGCAGATTTCTGAGTTCAAGGCCAGCCTGGTCTATAGAGTGAGTTCCAGGACAGCCAGGACTACACAGAGAAACCCTGTCTTGAAAAACAAAAACAAAACAAAAAAAAAAAAAACAAAAAAGAAAGAAAGAAAGAAATTCAACAGGAGAGAAATCTGTTATAAAATCTAGATGTGCCTCAGGGGAGCAGTTTCTGAACAACCACCCCAGTCCATTTCCTCTGCCTCTGATAATTACACATAGTAAGCCACAGCCTGTTCCTTGCTTCAGCTTTATTTCTTTGCACTGAGATCCACATGCCTTTCTAGCTGCACATGTGCTAACTAGTCCAGCCTCATGCCTTTTAGAAGGAAGTAGTGTTCTTCCCCCCCCCCTCCCCAATTACAAGAATAATGTAGTGGCTCATGGTGGCACACACCTGTAATCTCAGCTGTAGAGAAAAGGGCTGGAAAAAGACAAGACTAGCCTGGAATGGGATTAGTAGTCATGGCCTTGGTTAACTGACTCTCAGAGCATCTGAAGCCAAAGCTGGAGAGAACACAGGATGAGTAAGAGTCTGACATGGAGAACTCAATGAAGATCTACATTTTATGGAGAAGCATCCTTTGCTTTGCTGGAACAGTGAAGAAGTACAGGGGAAGGGAAGGTATCTGCCCATTTTGAGACAGAAATGCAGAGAGCTGGGGGTGTAAGACTATGTATAGTCCAGGCTCTGGGGCAAGGGGCCTTCAGGAACCAGCTAGACATCAGAACTCAACTAGCAAGCAAACCTCTTACCTTATGGTGAGCTCCTTATTCTAGAAAGGGAATTAGAGGACCAATTAGGAGCCATACCAGCATCTTACTGACCCAGTATGCCCTGGGAGTCAGATGCTTTCCAGACTCTAGCCCATGGTTCACACACAAACTTTAGCATGTGTTACAACATCTACTTAACCAGGAGTTTCTCTTAAAATCCTAGATTCCTAGGCTCCATTCTTATTCAGTAGGTCAGGGAGGAGTGAGAATGTCTGAAGAATTGCCAGGATTGTTGGGCTGCTCCTCAAGGCACAACACTCTGAGAACCACTTCCTGGGGTGCAGGGTGTGGGTGGGGGTGGGGGTGGTGGGGGGTGGGGGTGGTGGAGGATCCAGATGGAAAATATCAAGAATGACAATGGCACTCTTAACCACCGCAGGTGAAGAGGGGCTTTTAAATAACAATGAAAAATGTAAAAGTCCAAGTGAAGCTCAAGGACTTCAGAATGACTCAGATAGTAAAAGTCCATTCCCTTGTGGAGTTTAGGACTGACCAACCTTATTTTTTAGAGTGGCTACTCTAATCTAGTTGTGTGATGTCTTTATTTGTGCATTCATTAAAATATTTTTTTTATTTTAAAATGTAGTGCAGGGTTTGTTTCTCCCATGCTGGTCATCTCAGTAGAGCAAATCTGTGGCCTGAGGTGTTTTGTGCTTCTAGAAGGAAGGAGAGGACCCTTCTCAAGATGACCCAATAGTAGCTGGGATTTTCGAATCACTGGAGTTCTCCTTTATTCAAAAAGATTTTTAATTATGTGTATATTCATGTGTCCGTGGGGGTGGGTGTAAGTATATGTATGTGAATTGTAGGTGCTTTTGGAGGTCAGAGGCATTGGATCTCCCTGAAGCTGCACTTACAGGTGGTTATGAGCTATCCAATATATGTGCTAGCAATTGAACTCAGGGCCTCTGCAAAAGCAGCAGTGTGTGCTTTTAACCACTGAGCCATTTCTCTAGTCCCTAAAATTCTCTTAAGCATAGGTGATATACTGTCAAGTGAGTGACATCATCTTGACTTAAATTGACAAGTTTGGTGGGGTTTGCTCGTCTGTTTGTTTTAGTGGGGTTGTTGTTGTTGTTGTTATTTTTGTTGTTTAGTTTTTCAAGACAGGGTTTCTCTGTGTGGCTCTGGCTGTCCTGGAACTCCCTTTGTTGACCAGGCTGGCCTTGAACTCAGAGGCCCTTTTGCCTCTGCCTCTGGAGTGCTTGGACTAAAGGTATGCACCATCATGCTTGGCTTAAATTGACACATTCTTGTTTTTTTTTTTTTTGGGGGGGGTGTTTTCGAGACAGGGTTTCTCTGTGTAGCCCTGGCTGTCCTGGAACTCACTCTGTAGACCAGGCTGGCCTTGAAATCAGAAATCTGCCTGCCTCTGCCTCCCAAGTGCTGGGATTAAAGGTGTGCGCCACCACTACCCGGCTGGGACTGGTATTTTCATTCCATCCTTTGAACTACTGTTTCTCAAGTTATTGTCCCCATACCTGCAGCATTAGAATTACCTAGAAGCTCATTAAAAATGCAAATGCAAGCTCCATCTCAAACCTGCAAAATTTGATTTTTGATCTGTTATGAGACCAATAATTTTTATTCGTAAAACAGTCCTGGCTGGTGATTCTGATGTTGTCACTGTTGGTCTAGGGCCACACTTGGATGGCAACTGTAGTTAGAAACAAAAAAAACAAAAGCTTTAGAAGCATAAGGATTTATTTGGCTTAAGTGGATTCTTCCTTAGTTCCTTTTCTGCTACACTTGCTGTATCCCTGCGATTCCCTTCCCCCCTTCTTCAAATGCCAGCTCCATTGCTTATGAACTTTGAGACCCTAAGCAATTACTCTAAGTTGCAATTTCCTGACTTAGAATGTGGGGATAATAATAGGATCTGCTTTGGGTTCTTATAAAGATTAAGGAAGATCTAAGTAAAGTACTTGGCACTGCACCTGTGCTTAACAAATACTAGTGATTTTATTTCTTACTAATATTAGACATGGCATTTCACTAGAACAAACACTTTTGCAAGTTCTTTCAGACTCTCTTCAGACTCCTCTTACACTGATGTTCCAGGATAATGTAAACACTAAGGCACATCGTCCTGTTTTTTTTTCCCCCTCAGATTGCCATGAGCATCGGATAGGAGTATAGGCCCTATACTATAGGATATAGGGATGTTAGATAAGTATATGGTGGAAGAGATGACAGTAAGGCTAAGGGGGAAAGGCTGGCTGAGGGAGGAAGAGAGGGCAGTCAGACCTGGGAAGCAGGCTGTCAAAGACAACCTACCTCCTTCAAAGTTCCTCCTGTAGCAGCCCCAGGAATAGACTCCAGGGTTACAACAGGCCTTAGGCATCTGCCAGTGTTTCTATCTTATGAAGTCCAGAAGGTGAACACTCAGGTGCTCACAGTGAGTGCCCTGACAAGCCCTCAGACGCCAGCTGGCAATTGACCCAGTGGTTTGGGGCTTTAAAGTGGCTCTGCCTTCAGAGTGATTCCTATTTAGCAAATATCTGACTACAACTGCATCATACACTCATGCCACGGAATGGTCCTTTATAGCTATGCTCTTTTGCGATGCGTCTGGGGCACCTCAGGAAACAGCTTTATCTTATCTAAGAAGTGCAGGGAGTCTTTACCAGGCACGGACAGAGACCTTCACAAGTGAATTAAATACAAAAAACAAAAGCAGCAAGTTCAGGCCCCGTGGGTAAGGCAGGCCAGCCAATGGGCCCCGGCCGCTCCCAGGTGGAGTGGTACTATGATGACAGTAACCAACCAGAGCGCTCCATGCAAATGAGGATACTGTATCCGCACCAGACGCTCCCGTGCTGTCTGGTTGTTATAGTGATAAACTGAGGCCCTGCCTCTGGGCTTCTCCGAGAAAGAAAGGGGTGGTGTGTGCGTTGGGGGTGGGGGGTAACCTCTTTACTTCCCCCCAGGGAAGACAAAAAGAAGGGAAGAAGAAGGGGGATGGGTAGGGAAGAGAAAAATACGTGACAAAGAAAACATTCTTTGCCTGGGAGGAGACTCCCAGAGGGTGTAGAGCTGGAGGGAGCATTCACTGGCCATGCCAGTACTTACCACTGATGCTGAGTCAGAAACAGGTATCCCAAAATCCCTTTCCAATGAGCCTCCCTCAGAAACCATGGAGGAAATAGAGCACACATGCCCACAGCCTCGACTGGTAAGTAAAGACAAAGGATGGAAATGTATGCGTGGCTATGGCACAAAAGAGTTCCTTCTGTGCACGCAGCCAGCGAGGAAAAAACGATGCTTACAGGATTTTCATGTAAATGAGAATGGAGCTGCAGCCTAATCCTTCTCAGCTGTTTATACTTAGCTCCTATACCGGACACAGTTCTCAGCTTACAAAGCATTATTATATTGGCTGGGTAGGAAATGGGGCTGCTGGGGATATGTTGTGTCTTTTGTGCTTTGGGAGGAGAGAGAATGACCTTTTCCCCACCTTTTAGGTGCATTGTCACAGTTTTAAAATGGTTTTCTTCTTCACAAACCTTGGACTGCTTCCCTGGTGAAGTTCTAAATTCTAGCTCAGGAACGATCTCTTTCGTTCTCTCTCTCTCTCTCTCTCTCTCTCTCTCTCTCTCTCTTTCTTTCATACCTAATGGCAAAGGAAAACTATATGAAAAGCAAAACACCCTCATTCCTTTGATATTTTCAAAATAAACAAATAATACCTTGAGGATGCATATAGAAATAACGTGCATTTAAAATGAAGCCTGAATCTTTCAGGACGATTACTGAAGATTTCTAGTCAGGCAATGGCAACCTGGAGATGCTACATTTATTTAGAATGGGGATGCATGCCTTTAAGAATGAAAGTGCGGAAACAGGAGGCTAGAGCTTTCTCTCAGTAACTGGATCTACTGAGCAGCTCTCTCACACTTGTTCTAACCTTTAGGTAAATGGGGAAGTTTCTTCTCAACCACTTCAGCAACGTGGCCTCAAGGAATTAAAAAAAAAAAAAAGACATGTCAAATGGGTTGTGGGTTTCCTGAAGCTTGAAATCCTATACAACTTGGGTCTTTGCACCCCCAAATCCAAGACACACACTAGAATTATCCTTTCTTCAAGGATTTCTTCCAAGTTAAAACATAAAGTGTTTTGATTGGCTGTGCAGTTTGGCACTAAGGAGACATTTTTTTAAAAGAGATTTTTTTTTTTGTAGAATTTTATGTGAGCCCCCACGTAATCTGGATTTATAGATTTCAATGCTAATCCACAATTGAACTGTTATTTCTTAATAAGGGTTTGAAGGCAGGCTCATATCAACTTTCCAAAATCAGATAACCAGGGGGAGTTATATTAGAGCAGTTTCTAAGTTTTGAGACATGTTTTTAGGGTATTTGAATATTAACTACTTCTCAGTCCATTAGTCAGTGACTGACTGACATAAGTCATGTGGTCTCTGTGCATTTCTGTCATATAAATTGTCCTGATAAGTTTGTTATTAAAAAATTCCTCTGATTTGTAAAAAAAAAAAAAAATTCCTCTGGGCCACTAAACAACTCATGGTTTAACAGTGGGAAAAACTGACCTATAAAGGTGAATTACAAAATCTCCCAGAATATGCTTTTTAAAATAAGTGCAATATACAAACTTGAAACCATATACCTTTGGACAAAGAGTTAGGACAACAGAGAGAAAGGTAATATCCAGCACCAGTTTTCTTTATGTATTTTCCTTCCCTCTGACCTTTTAGCTGTTCTGCTCCTTAGTTAGTTGGCCTGAGAGGGGTATGCAGAGGTAATCCTGGAAGGGAATAAGTTAGGTTTGCTCTTTCACTTTCGCTGTTGACAACTTCTCTCAGGTGGTAACCGGCAAAAACCAAACCCAACAGTGCTTCACTTTCCCCTTCCACACATGTGCAGAAATAAGAGATTGACAGAATTCTTTCAGAAACAAAGTAACTCTCTAAAGATCCCTTTGAAGGGCCACAGGTAGGCACTAAGCCCAGAGCAGTATACCTGAAAAATATGAGCTCGTGCCTGTAGAATATATTCTTCAAGTGAGATGCAGTCTCTTCCTATCTTTTGGGAGGGGGGCCAGGGGTGATACAAGCACAGCAGAAGTATGAGAGATGTGTTCCAAAACTGAACTGTTGAAATAACTGTTGTGATCTACTTTGATAAAAGGTTCCTGCGGGCTGCTGAAATTGTCTATTTAAATATCTGCTTAAACTAGATTTTGTGAAGCATTTTTTTTGTTGTTAGGAGCAAACTTTCACTGTAGAGTTGGTTACATTTTGACTTATTTATCATAGCTAACTTTCCTTTGCCTGAGGTTTTGCTTCAGTAACTAAGGCACTTGCTAACTACTTAATAAAGTTTTTTTGATGGAGAGAAGGACTAGGACAGGAAAATGGGAAATCACCATTTCCTGGTTTTTTTGGTTCTTTCTGTTGATCATGAACCATTGCTAAGAATTCCATTATTCAAATCTCATGAAGTCTATGTTTCCCTATTCACCCAAGCTAATCGTATGTGGGTCACTCATAATGACAGCCATCAACAGTCAACAAGGTATGGATATTGGGTTGCACAAGTAACTTTGGAGAGCGTGTGAAGGATTTGAGAGGAGCCAGTTTAGGAATGAAACTCAAATACTCAGAATCCACCTCTGATGTCAGATCTTTTCTCCCAGTCATTGAAAGGAAGACTGGGATTTCCTAAATAAACAAGGCTTTAAAGCAATCCATCTTTTAGGTGTGAATCGATAATGCTATTGATGCTATTGAATTATATACTTCAAGGTGAAAATTTTCTAAAGGGAAAACATGTAGTCTTCCCAGTTGCTTTATTCTACATTCCAGAAAAATAAAAAAGGAAAAGACTAAATAGAATAAATTAGTACTGCTGAAGAAATTATAAAAATAATCACTGAAAATCATTTTACTTTTATGATAGTCTATGTTTTAGGAGTGTAACTTTATTGCCCATATTACCATGGTATCCAGTTGGAGACGTTTTCTGAGAACTTTTCATTATTATGATATTTACTCTACTGGTTTTCTGTTACTTAATGTTTCCTGCTTAAATATGATGCAAGGAGCTTGGGTTTGAAGAAGAGAAGCTGAGGGGTCGTGGGTGAGATGATGTAACCACTCTCCTTGGAAACCTATCTTTTGGGGGAGGAGCACTCCTTGCAGGCATGGACTATCCTCAAATTGGCCTAGCCCTCTGACTATGCCTGGACCAATCCTCTGGGACCAGTGGGGTCTCTACAAACCCTCCCTAACAAGGACTAGCTGTCCTAAAAGCTGTCTGCCTAAGGATTTAGTTAATGACCTTGGTCAAGTTCTTCTTGGAGTATATCTTGTTGTCAGAAGGAAGCTATAATTCTAGCCTACAAAAGTCCATTTACATTAAGATGGATGTGGCACCAATCAACATAGGAGGCCTTGGAAATAAAAAAGGGCTCATTCAATGTGCCATATTAGCAGGAGTTCATTTGGGGTTTTACTTCAAAGTGGAACATCGCCAAGAGACTGCTGTCTTGCAGAGAAGGTGCAATATGTCATTTGGGATGTAGATACTCACCCACTGGTACTCAAAAAGATTACTGGGTTTCTAGCTATCGCTGTATTTCCTTTACTAGTATCACCATCTATTTAGCCACTTAGAGCAGCATACATTTTAAAACCAAGATGCTTTTAATGTGCATATTGGTACAAATAAATGAACATAAGCTTCCTTGGGTATTTACTACGGCCGACTGGAATTCTGCCCAAGGTTATTGTTAGACATTTTCCTATTGGTTCATGTCCAAATGCAATACCCATTTCTTACAGATTGATAATAGTCATGTGTATTACCCATGGAATCAGTGAATTTATTTATCTCACTATTCTCCCAAGCACCCATTTGTCTAATGCTAAATTCCTTATGGAAAAAAACTTATATCAAATAGAATGTCAGTACTTTGCTTTATTTTGGTGTTTGGGCATTTAGAAATCAAAAAGGTACATAGGTCGTCATTTAGGCAATGCAGAGGATTTAAAGCATCCAATGATATAGGATTTTAGGAAGTAACTGAGAGAAAACTCAGTCCCTTACCAAGGGTGACAACTTCTATATACAGCAATATACCAGGTGATGTAGAGAGAAATAAAAGTGACTCCACAGCCCCTACCTTTAAAGATCATTTCTACTTAATAGAAGATAGTAGTCTAGCGTGTGGATATTTGCCAGGATGCTGAAATCCCTTAAGAGAACCTTCTTGTAACTGTGACCTTAATATATTGGGTCTTCTTAAAAAGCCATATTTTATCCATTGAGTGAAAGAAGTTCTCAGCAGGGAGGGCTGTGTTAACATTATCCCCAAGTTAAGACAAGTCCCACCATTTGAGGGTAAGATTACATTTTTAAAGCTTTAGCTGTATTTTGGGACAAGAAAAGAATCAATCTGGCCAGGCGGTGGTGGCGCACGCCTTTAATCCCAGCACTTGGGAGGCAGAGGCAGGCGGATTTCTGAGTTCGAGGCCAGCCTGGTCTACACAGTGAGTTCTAGGACAGCCAGAACTACACGGAGAAACCCTGTCTCGAAAAACAAAACAAAAAACAAAACAAAACAAAAAAAGAATCAATCTGGAGCTAGGGCAATAACTTGGTAAAGAGTTTGTCTTGCTAACATGAAGACCTGAGTTTGATTCCTAGCACTCATGTAAAAGCTAGGCATGGTGCCACACACCTATAATCTCAGTACTGGGAAGATGGAGACAGGAGGATTTTGCTGGTCAGCGAATCTAGCTGAACTGGTGACTTTCAGGTTCAATAAGAGACTAAATATGATGTGGAGATCAATTGAGGACAACCCATGTAATCTCTGGCCCCACAACTACACATGTATACCTCCACACATACATGCAGATACACACACACACACACACACACACACACACACACACACACAGATACACCAGTCTATTTTTAGGGTCTCTTAAAGACCTATTGTTTTTTTTAATTGGTTATTTTATTTGTTTACATTTCAAATATTGTCCCCTTTTCCAGTTTGCCTTCTGCAAGCACCCTATCCCATCCCCTATCCCCCTGCCTCTGTGAGGTTGCTTCCCTACCCATTTACCCACTCCCACCATACCACCCTAGTATCCCCCTATGCTGGAGCATCAAGCCTCCACAGGATCAAGGGCCTCTCCTCCCATTG